CGGCGAGGGGCAGGGCAGGGCAGGGCAGGGCAGGGCGGGTGAGGCGAGGGTGGCCAGGTCGCGGCAGCAAGGGGGCCAGGTAGCGGGTCAAGAGGATGTCTCCCGCTTGCCTGGCGCCTTCCCTGCCACCCCACCAGCCCGTTGTCTGCTCACCTGGCGGCCGCCTGGGTGCATCAGCTCTTCCACGTTCACATCATACACGCCGCCCTGTGGGAGCAGCCCAAACACGCGTGCTGGGCGGCGGCGCGAGAGCAAGGCGGCGGGTGGCGGCAGGTGGGAGGGTCGGCGCAGAGGCCCTGCATCGCTCCTTGGCCCTCCTCGCCTTAAACATGAAAACGTGCTTGCCGCTGGCCGCCAAGGCTTCCACCTCCTTCCTGCTGAAAATCTTCTTGGCCTTGCCTCCAGCCGCCGCAGCTGCTGGTTTGCCCTTGGCCATGCCTGCTGCCTGCTGGATGAGGCGGTGGGGCGGGTAGGCCAGCGGCTCAAGGGTGGAGTTGAAGGGCAGGGCGGCGCAGGGTCGGCGGTGACCCGCTGGGGGGCTGGGGCGGATTGACTGGAATTCAAACTGCAGCAAGGCAAGTGGTGGGTGGGGCCCTAACAGACCTGCTTCCCTGCGCGGCGATCGCTCATGCCACGTAGACCTTCATGCATTCAGGCTCCCCGGATGCCCAATCGTCTGATATGTACGGCGGGGGCGTTTGCTCTGGTTTCGTGGCGGGGGTGCTGGGCCTCTGCGGTCAGGATCTGCCGCCGCCACCGGCCGCCACCCACCGCCAACCGAAGCCGCCGCTCAAGGCGCGGGTGCCATAGCACACACACGCAGGGTCTTCGATGGCCCATCAAGATCTGACATGTGCATGTCCGCCTGCTTGCTCACGTGCACGCTTGGGATGCCCTGCCGATGTGCCTGTGAGGACGGTACAGTGGCATCCGCGCACCAGAGTGATTGTTGCGGCAATCAGACAGACAGCACTGATGACCAGGAGACTCGCTGTCCTCCTACGGCCCATCCTTGCTGTACGAAATGGGATGCTGCTGAGCCAGCTGCAGCGCGGCGGCGGCACACCGTGCCAGTGGCACAAGGAGGCATTTTGAGGCGGCGGCGGGACTGGCTAGCCAGCTGCACACACTGCACTTAATGGTCCTAGGGCGTCGTTGGGGCATCGTCATGAGAAGAAGAACTTGGAGCCGGCATGAAGCCGGCATGAAGGGAACTTGAATTGCCAGTGAATTCGTGGCGGCCTACCTGGGCGGCCGGCCCGGTCGGACGCTTTCTCGAGATCAAGCACCGCCCCCAGTGTTTATCGGCGTCCGCTTGGTCTCCCCAGACTTGAACAACGGAGGCTTCCCGTCCTCGCCTAACCAAGCGGCGGCAACCACCTGGCGTACTTTTGCCGCCCCCGCCGCGAAACCAAGAGCTGTGCTGCGCTCGGCGAGCGCCTGCAAGGATTGGGCACATCTTAAGTGGCATTTTGTAGCAGGGAGGCGTCGCGGAGGCCGCACCGGCGATAAAGCCATTGGTCACGCGGCCCCGCCCTCTCAGCGTGTCGGTTCAAGCTTCCAGGCGTCCCACAGGTACATTGCCGGCTGCCGCTGGGCGCCGCAGTCGCATGGGCCACTGACAACCCCCAGCTGGCGGCAGCGGGACTGCCGACCGCCGCCAAGTGCCGCTACGCCGACTCATGTGCCACCACCTTTCCCGCCCTCTTTGCAGGGACTCCCCCAGAGCAGTGTTTCCCTCGAGCAAACCAGCTACCCACCCGCCCCATGTGTTTTGGTGACCTGTCGTGGCTCCCGCTGCAAGACGCCCCCACAGCCGACCCAGGTGGGCAAGCTGGCGGCGCCCCTCTTGCCGTGCGGCAGCACAGCTGCTTGCTGCTGCCAGGTGCCTGCAGGGCGCCTCTGGCATGCGCCTGCTTGTCGGCTGCAGGAGGCCTGACACCGGGTCCCAACGCACACCTCCCCCCTTGCTGCCCCTAGTGCCTCTGGTGCAGAGGCACCCCTGCGCCTGTCCCTGCTGCGCTCCATCGATGCGCTGGTCAGCCCAGAGGCCAACCGCCACCCCACCAAGGCCGCGGCCGATGCAGGCAGCTGGCACTCTGTCGCCAGGCTGCCCACCAGCACCGCAGACAGCGGCAGCGGCGTCACCAGCAGCGGCGGCGGCGCGGTGTTCTTCCTCGCCGACGGCCAGCCCTGCTACAGCAGCGGCACCCCCATGCTGTCCAGGTGCACCAGCGGCTGCAGCGCCGCCCCGCCGCAGCACCAGTGGCACGCGCAGGCGGGCCACGGGCCCATGCCGCGCCTGAGCAGCATCAAGCGCAGCCAGTCGTACAGCGCCTTCCTGCCCTACGGGCCGCGGGCCGCCGGCATGAAGCGAGGCGCCTCCTGCCACTGCCTCCTGCTGGCCCGCCAGCCCACCGCCCCTCCCAGCTCGCCCATCACCGCCACCTCCCCGCCCAGCCTGATCCCAAGCTACAGGAGCCTCCCGCCCGCGTCCAGGTGCGCAGTCACTTCGCTGGCGAGGCAGCCTCTGCCTTCTGCCCACCGTCTCCCCTTGTCACCCACCCAGCCACACTCTCACCCATCCGCCTGCCCCTCTGCTTCCCTGCAGCACCTGCAGCCTGCCAGATGTGGAGGTGTTTGCTGTGGGGCTGGAGCTGGTGCAGGCGGGGATGGCGCCAGAGGATGTGCGCAGCCTGCAGAGCGCGCGCAGCTTCCTGGCCGCCTTCTGCGAGTAGGCAGCCAGCCAGCCCTGTGCGCTGCCGCTACTAAGACCCTTTCACCAGCAAGCCACGCAAGCATCCCAGGCACTGCACCGACTGCACCCACTGGCAACCCACCACCTTCGCACAGCCTCCAAGCCACCTTGCCAGAACTAGACCCATGCCTGTCCTAGCGACGCAGCGACCGTTGCTGCCTTCTTTGCCCGGCTCCTCGCCTTGATCCCCCCCCAAGATGTCGCAAGCCACATCCTTGCAACCTCGCACTTGGCTCCAGCCCTTTTGTCTCCTTCGGCTCTCCCCGCCGCAATCGCTAGATTGCAGGCCCCGCCACCTCATCACCGCTTGGTCACACAGTATGTTTCTCTCTACCCCGGCCCCGCTCCGATCTCATTTCCCTGCCTCCCATTCATTCACAGCATCTGCAGCTGGGCGCTGTGCAGCGTCCAGCTGCTGGATCTAGTTTTCCTTTCTTTTTGAACTGCAATTCCCTGACCACGCCGTCCCCCCTTGCCTTTGTTGCGATTCGCGTAGCACGCCGGCGTGCTACGCGAATGTGTTTTTTGAGGGCGCCCTCAATCCCACTGCACTTCTTTGCATCAAATTTCGATTGGCCTGCACAACCTGCATAAGCGCCCGCCTTGTGGCCTGGCTGCCAGCCCTGGCCCGGCTCCCCAAATGTATTGGCCGGCGTGGCTGGTGGCGCCTGCACTAGCACCCACTAAGAGCCTCCCGCTCCACATGACGTCATGTCGACATGACCCCCCCTCCCCCCTAATCATCTCCTAGCCACTGGATGGCACACACAGCCACCATCATCGCATGAACTCATCACCACACTAAATGTAAGACAGCTTCACACAATCAAGCAGCAGGAACTCCGGCTGGAGGAGCGCTGCCGCCGCCGCCGTGCGACATCCAACACCGTGGTGACCACCAGCAGTACACATCGGAGGTACTCGATCATGATCAGGAGCCGATATATTTCTTCACAGGCGTCCATCCATGGACGAGTTTGTCACATTTGGAATGGGTCTGTATGATCATACAAGTCTGGCGGCGGCGCAAAGGAGGGCCAGCACAAGAAACCAACTGTAATGAGTTGGCACACATTAATCTGTTTTGTCTGTTTCCAAGTGATCAGTGTTGCGGGGCGGACCCTCAAAAAGCAATGCAAGGACCACCAGGCTGTGTACACATCTGATGGCCGCTCAGTGATGAGGGTGGTGCCATCAGTGGTGGCTACAGGCGGGGAACGTTTGCCTCGAGCTGCGTCGGGCGCACTCTCATAGCCGGTTGATCTTGCGCAGGCGCACCCCGCGCTCGGCGGCGCCACGCCACCGCGCCGCCACTGCGGCATGCCGGCTGGATGCCCCCCGCATCAGCCGCTCCGCCTGCGCCTCTGCCAGGGTGAACTCAATGTCGCTGGCGGTAACTGGGGCGGCGGTGGTGGCGATGCGCAGCCCGCTCTGGGAGCGGGAGATGTCAAGGTTGAGGGGCCAGGCGGCCGCCATGGCGTGGAACACTGCGGGGGCAGCGGCGGAGGGCGCCGAGCACGCCTGATTGCTGGCCAGAAGCCAACTCAAGCGAGCAGGGGGCACAGCATGCAAGCAGCCACTGGAACTCACTGACGAAGAAGGCGATGAGGCGCTCCAGCGACAGGAAGCGGCTCTCCAGCAGCGCCTCGATCACGCCTTGCGCCAGCCAGCCAGGCAGCCGCAGGCAGCACGAATCGCAGGCAGGTGCAGGGCGCTGGGGACCATCACAGCTGTAGCGTGCCCGCACCCGCCAGCACACGGCCCCACGTGCAGTTTGCCCACCTGGTCGTCCAGCATCTGGTTCATGCCCGATGCCATGGCACCCATGGCCGCCCGCGTGGCGTCCGCGTCGCCGTCCGCCATCAGCGCCTCGCGGTGCTTGGCCAGCTTGGACATGCGCTGCCAGGCACCCTCCACCGCGTCCTTGCGGCTGCCCGCATGCAGGCGGTGCTCTGCTCAGGTGGGCGCGCAAGGTGGGGCGTGGGGGGGTGTAAGTGGCAGCGAGTGGCAGCAGAGTGTGGGAGTCTTAGCAGGTGCGGCGGAGAGCAGGCGAGGCGTGTGAATGCCCAGCTTCCCCCGATCTGCCGCTCGCACCATGGCCAGCCCCAGCCAGCTGGCACCATGACGGCCCGGCACGCCACGCCCAGCCGCGACCGCGGCGCTGAGGCGCCGGCCCCCCCCCCCGGCTCACCTCCCATGACGTGCGCTTCCACTCCGAGAGCCAGCACGCTGTCCCCGCGGGCCAGCTCGCCGGTGCCGCCGCTGCTGAAGGCCTTGCGCGAGCCCAGGGCGCCCAGCGGTGTGTCGGCCAGGTCTTTCAAGGTCAGCACGCGGGTCAGGTTGCCTTCGGCGGCCTCCTCGCTGTCGGCGGAGCTGGGCGGGCCTCTGCCGCCGCTGGCCATGGGGGCGCCGTTCCCAGCCTGATCCTGGCTCCCGCGGGCCGCGGGCGGGCGCGTGGCGGCGGGTGAGGCGTCGGCAGGCGAGGCGGCGCCCGTGCCCACAGCAGAGGCGGCACACTTGAAGGTGCTCTGCCGGTGAGCCTTGATCGCCTTCACCGCCCCGTCTGCCAGCACGGTGCCGGCCAGCACGTGGCGGCGGGCGGCATACAGGGCATTGGGGTTTGTGCCCTGCTCGTCGTCCAGGCTCTGCAGCAGCTCAGCCAGTACCTGTGGGGCGGGGCGGGAGGGGCGCAGACAGGCAGGCGAGGGGGCAGGTGATGCGGCGGCTGGGGAGGCCAGCGGGCACTGCTGCCACCGACGAGAGCGGGCAGCGAAAGAAGGAGTTGCAGGAGGTGGGCGACCCGCCAGCTGCCAGCCTGGCATGCCACCTGGCATGCCACCTGGCTGCCAGCCTGGCATGCCACCTGGCATGCCACCTGGCTGCCAGCCTGGCGTTGCGCAGTGCAACACACACATGCCCTCCGCCCTCTCCTATCACAGCGACGGCATTCCCCCATCCGCCGCACCCCAGCCCTTCATTTGCAAGCCGCCTGCTGCAGCGCTGAGCCGGCCCGGCTGCCAGCCCGGCTGCCAGCACGCCGCGCGCGCACCTTGGGCCGGGTGGTGGGCAGCACCAGGTGCCTGTCGATGTACTCGTTTGTGAAGGCGTTGTGGCCCAGGGTCAGCACCTCGGGCCGCGCCCCCAGGCTGGCAATCACCTTGGCCTGCAGCAGGCCCACTGCCGGCGGGCAGGCGGGGGGGCGAGCAGGGAGGCGGCGGCTGGGACGGGGAAGGCAGGGCCGAGCGCCGACAGCGGCAGCCGCCACGGGGCAGGAGCGGAAGCAGCTGCAGCGCCAGCGGCGGAGTGGTGGCAGCAGCCGGCTGCGACCAGCAGCTCCTCACAGCACGGCCCAGCGGTGCAGGGCCAGCCTTCAGCGCCACCAGCTGCTGCCAGCCGCCACATCCAGGCGCCACAGCCTGCAGGCGCCACCAACTCACGCTGGATCCAGGCCTCGGTGGTGGTCTGCGAGTAGAGGCGGCCGTCGGGGCGGCCAAAGGCGATGAGCACGCCCCGCGCCACGCGGTGGGTGAACTTGTGGACCAGATGGTCGGCGGGGTTGGCGGCGTGGACCTGCGGGAGGGGTGGGGGCGGGGGGGATGGTCACAGGGAGGAGAGTGAAGAGGCAGCCTCAGCTTGAGGGATGGGGGTAGCGGAGGGAGGAGGTGAAGGCGGGGGGGGAGGCCGGTCAGGTGGGTGAGCGCGCGCAAGGCGAGGGGGGGAGGTGAAGGCACCAACGTCAGAGCACGAGCCGCACGGCGGCGGCGGCGGACGGTGCTCCCAGCCGCACACCCACCTCGATGGAAGCGATGCCGTAGGAGAGGGCGAACCTCTTGGAGACGAAGGCCTCCACGCACTGCGAGACGTAGGGCACGTCGGCCACCACCAGCGTGCGCTTGCCCCAGCGCGCCAGCAGCGGGCGGCGCTGCACCAGGCGCAGCAGGCAGGCCGCCAGGATGCCACACCAGATGTAGATCCTGAGAAGGCAGCGGGCAGGGGAGGGCGAGGGTGGAAGGGCGGCGCCGTGGTGGGCTGAGCGGCCGCAGCGCGGGTCCGCCACGCTACGCTGCGCTGTGCCGGGCCGAGAGCAGGGACTCCGAGGCAAAGGGCCCCAGGGAGGAGGGAGGGGGGGAACTCACATGGAATCAAACACCAGCGCCGCATGCGACGACGCGGTGCGCACTTCAGGGGCCGCATCCGCTGCGGCGGTGATGGCGTCGACGATCGCGTGCACCACCTGCGGCGGCACAGCGGCACGAGGCAGCGGCGGCGCGGGCCGGTGGGCGACAGCGCCTGCCGGCTGCACTCCGCCCCACAGCGATGCTGGACCCCGCTGATGAGGGCAGCCGCTGCTGCCAGCTGCTGCCAGCCAGCCAGCCAGCCAAGCCAGCCAGCCAGCCGCTGCCGCTGCTGCTTCCACCCTTGCTCAGGGCCAGCCACCGCCTCCTGCCACCCACCGGGTATCCCGATATCACGGTACCGGCGATGTAGGCGGCAGCCAGGGCCCAGGACCAGGGCCCCTCCAGGATGTGCAGCGCCCAGCGCCGCCCCGCTTGCACCAGCGAGCCGTGGTGCGGGCTGTCCACGGGGCCGCCGGCTGCATCAAAGCCTGTCAGCGCGGAGCGGCGCGCTGCAACGCCAGAGGTGGAGGGCAGGGATGCGCGGGTGAGAGCAGAGGCAGCGTGGCTCGCAGCGGCTCCTGCCCACTGCCGCATCGCTGCCCCTCTACAGCAGAAGACCTGGAGCAACGCCCCGTTGCCCAGCTGCCGCCTGCCACCTCCCTGCAGCCAGCTGATCTCACCACCTGCCCACTCAAGCTCCTCCCACCAGCTCCCTCCACCACCCCGCGCCCCTGGGCCTGCCACTGGAACTCCTGTGCACCCCACCTCACCGTCACAAACGCATTCCGCTCCACCCGCAGGTCCAGAAGCTCCTCGGCATTGAGGGCCAGCCCAACGGGCGGCCTGTCCTTGCCCCTGCCCTCGCCGATGCCCCCAACCAGCGTGGCCCCCGTGAGCAGCAGCAGCTCGGTGAGGGAGTGGGCCAGGGCCACCACCGAGATGCTGGCGGGCTCCGCCGAGCGCCACCCCGCCTTGGTGTCGAAGCAGCGCTTGAGAAGGGGGCGTCGGGGGACAGCCGCTGGCCCAGCACCAGCGCCATCTTCGTGTCGATGGCGGCGCTCTGCGGGGCGGTGCGCAAGGTGGCGGGGTGGCAGGAGAGAGGTGGGGGCGGCAGGAGGGAGGGTGGCAGCAGTGAGGGTACTTGGGAGGAGGGGCAGGTGGCGGGACGGGACAGAGAAACCCGGCACTGCAGGAGGCTGCTGCCGCTGCCGCTGCAGCGCTGCTGGCCACTATGCCGCCCGCCCTCCTCGCCACAGCTGCCCCCGCATGCCTCCCCCGCTCCCGGCTGCCGCCGCCACTCACCATGGCAAACACGCGGCCGGGCATCATGGCGTTCAGCAGGCGCACCGCGTGGATGGTGGGGATGGTCTGGCCGGAGTGGGAGATGGCCAGTGCGATGGCGGCGGCCAGCTTTGCCGAGGAGCGGCAGAAGGGGAAGCCGGTGGCGGGCACACGGCCGCGGTTGCCGCCCAGCACCCCGATCACCTTGTTGGCGGAGATGGCGGCGACGCGCAGCCCCAGGAACAGCGTCTTGAGGTCGGCCGCAAACTGCTTGGCCAGCCACAGCGACCCCACCACCCCCACCAGCAGCACGTCGATGTCCTGCCCGTCGGTGTCGTTCCCCGCCCCGCGCCCCTCGGCCCGCCGCTCCCGCCCGATGCGCTGGCGGGCGGCCGTGAAGGCGGCGCCGGAGCGGCGGTTGAGCGAGGCGGGGTTGGACCAGTCGCGCGTGATGGCGTGCAGCACGCGGGTCACGTCTGCCAGGTCAGCAGCCACCGAATCAAAGCCGGGGGTGAGGTTGATGGAGGAGAAGGAGACGTAGGGGTTGTCTGCCAGCGCCACCACACGCCCCGCCCACACAAAGGCGGCCAGGTCGGGGACCTCCCTGTCGCCGCGGATGCCGCCAAGCGCCGCGGCTGCCACGCGCTCAAACGACACGTCGGCCACCTCCACGAGAGCCAGGCGCAGGGAGGCTTCCCACATGCCCTGCCACATGCGATGCCAGGGAGGTGGCAAGAAAGAACGGTGTTAGCCCGGGGGGCACAAAACCACCCCTGCAGCTGCCAGCTCCCGTGCAGCTGCCAGCCGTACCGCTCCCACCTCGGTGCGGTGCAGCTCCATCATGCCGGCCATGTTGATGCTGCTGCACTTGGCGTGCGGCGGCGAGCCCAGCAGGGCCGCCAGAAACACCGACGTCTCGTGGTGGGTTCGGTAGCGGCCTTCCACGTCCCGAGCAAAGTCATTGTCGCCTGCAGGAGGAAAGAGGGGCGGGGGGTTGGGGATGAGGGGGCAGCACGCTCCGTGCGCAGCAGGTCACAACAGTAGGCAGCAGCAGCACCAGCACCAGCACCACCAGCCGCTCCACGGCAGCAGCCGCCGTCCTGCAGCAGCAGGTACAGCAGCAGCGGCAGCCAGCCCCCACCGTTGTGAGTGATGAAGACCCCAAACTGCTCGGTGCCAGATGAGATGCCGCCAGGCGTCGAAGCGTCCGAGCGCCTGACGACGGCGGGCGAAGGCGCGGCCCACTGGTGGGGGTGAGACTCTGAGGGAAGCGGGATGGAGGAGGTGGCAAAGCGGGTGTGGCCTGCACAGGTCACAGGCAGAGCGAGCTAGAGCCAGGGCTGTGCCACTCAGCAGCCGCTGGAAGTGGATGCAGGCGGCAGGCAGACTGGGAGCAGCAGCAAGCGCAGGTGTGCTCTCCCTCATCCCTCCCCACCCACCCACAAACAGGCCGTGCCCGTCCGCCAGCTCCGCCTTGCCGGCGGCAGCCCTGAACTGCTTGCCCAGCAGCACCGCCAGGTTCTGGCGCTTGCTGGGCGCCACGCCAGCGCGCACGCCGTCCGCCTGCAGGCGGGGCGCGGCGCCCAGGCCGCCCGCCGCGCCCGCGACGGGGTTTCCTTTTGGCACCAGGGGCACCAGGCCCGCCCGACTCGGACCTTCTCATCATAGAGATGGAGCACGGGCGCTGCCGAACGTCCATTGGGTCCACGCCCGCCTCGGCTGCCGCCTGCACGGGAGGTAGAAAGACAGAACCAAAAGAAAGAGGATGTACAGGTTGGTGCAGGCAGTGCAGGCAGCTGGGACACCGGAGGCAGGCCATGAGGTCCACCCCATACCCCACCCTACATGGGTTTACCTTCACTGATGCCAGCAGCAGTCCCAGGTTGCCACAGAAGAAAGACAGGGACGAGTCCGAGGCAGAGGGAGAGGCCGGGGCGGCCAGCCCGAACAGGTCGGTGGGCAGCGAGCAGGCGAGCATCAGCCAGCTGGCGCACAACAGTGCGTGCAGCGCTGCGGCAGCGGCGGGGGCCGCAGCGGCAGCCCACTCGGCATGCCCCCAGCCGGCAGCCGCTGCCAGCGCCGCGCTGCCCAGCCCAGCCGGCATGGCGGGTCCATCCCAGGGTGAGGGCGTGGGAGGCGCAGCCGTGGGCGACCACAGACACGTGCGGCAGGGCAACCCAGCGGGCGGCTGTGTGGCCGGGGGGGCGGGCATCCAGCACTGCCAGGATGGCGGCGGGGGCTGCATAGTGGAGAGGGAGATCCGGGGGTGGGGCAGGAGCGAGGGCAATCAACCCACCACCTGGCGTTTACGGGGTGTAAACCTTGCATATGTGGCAGGGCGGGCTGGCTGGTGCCATGCATCCTGGCCATTTTTTCACGCGGACCATGCTTGAATCGGTGAGATCTCCGGTCCAGACCAGGCCACACCCCGATGCGCCTGCAGCGACGCAGCCAGGGCGATGCATATTCCCCGGTTGCCGTGCCAGGGCTGGCGGGGAGAGCAGAGGGTGCGGCGGCGGGTGCGGGGGTGCCTTCTCTTGAGATTTGTCTCTCAGGCTTCTCTGAACTAATGGCCAGATCGAGAGCTTGCTGCAGCAGTGGCGATGCGTGCCATTGTGGTGATGGCCCCAGGTAACCAGTGGCAGCGACAACAGAACGGGGGCTGTGCTGCTTGCAGTTTGCTTACGTTGACGGCTGTGGGCATCTTGGAACGGCTGTGGGCACCTGCCACCAAGTCGCGCAGCGTGAATGGCAGCCAGGCAGACAGGCAGAGGCAGAGCGAGGGTGGCGCAGTGCCAGGCGGACATTGACTGGGTACGGACAAGCTTGCCGCGCCCCCCCCCGCCCCCTCCCCATGTCGCCACGGCTGCGAGCACACTACGAGATGCGGCGGAGTGTGCATCCCTCCCTCATTGCGGCGGCTTCACAATTCGTTGAACCGGCCTAATTCTTCCTGGGCACCACAAGTATAAGGCACCACATGTAAAGCATTGCATCGTGAGCGCAGGTGGGCAGCTGGCTGCAGCCGCCCACATGGCGCCGCTGGCAGCAACCCTCCAACGTTGCTTTCTCAAAACGCCCGCTGCCCTGGAAAATCCGAGAATCTCGTTCCAGCAGTGCCAATTTACCCCCAGGCTCGCCATGCGCACGACTTGAGCCAAAACTTGCATGGCACCTCGGTGGCTGCTGCTGCTGGCCTTGCTCCTGCTGCACCCCGAGCGTAATGTCAACGCCCAAGCTAACGACAGTGAGTTGGGCCCACAATGGCTCAAAGCGAGATACAGCTTGCGCACCCAAACCAGGCGCTCGTGTCCTTCAAGAAGGATACAGGCACCACAGCATTGTTGCGCATCGCGCGCCCCGCCCGCCGGCTCGCCCGCCTGCCGCCGCCGCCGCCATCGCCGCCTGTCCGCCCGCTCGCCCAACCCACTGGCCGCCGACGCCTTGTGCCCGCCCTTGCAGCCGAGGTGGAGGAGGCAACGCGGGCTGTGCTGCTGGCTCAGCGCGATGCCATCGCCAACTGGCCGCTGTTCAGCAAGAACAACAATCTCACCGGCTGGGACGATACCACCCCCGTGTGCCAGTGGGGCGGCATCACCTGCGGGGATGGTTTCGAGGTTGCCAATGTGACTTCCGGCTTCACGCTGTGAGCAGCCAGCCAGGCATCCAGCTGGTTGGTGCAGGAAACCTGCTGGGTGGGCTGCTGCACATCACCTCCATGTTTGTGGCGGTGAGCAAGCTCTTCATTCCATACACTCGCCTGCCAAAACTCATCAGCCATGCCGCCTGCCGCAGGATCCTGTCCTGCGCCTACGACAGCCCCTCCGGCACCTCACAGATTGGCACCGCCTGCAAGGCGCCAGCGGCGGAGGGCATGCTCGTGGACGGCCTGTCCACCCTCGAGTGAGTGCAGCAGGGCAGCTGGGCTGGCGCTGCGTCCTGCACTTGACGCCTACAAGGCATCCACGCCTTTTCGCTGCCTGTGTGGGCCAGAGCCAAGGTTCAGGGGTGTGGCCTTGTTTAGATGCTGCTATTGGTGCTTCTGCTGCTGCGCAGGTACCTTTGGGATCTCACTATCACCTATCAATTGCTGTCGGGCACCCTGCCGGCGGCGTGGGGCGGCAACGGCTCCTCCCTCTCCTTCCCGCAGCTCACCAACCTGTGAGTGGAAGATACGGCCAGAATTTATGCACCTGTCCGCGCTAGCTCTGCGCTGCTACCTGGAGGAGAGCTGAGCTGAGTCTTCAGTGCGGCTGCGCCATGCAGGGCCCTGAACAACAACCGCTTTGCCGGCGTCCTGCCCGAGAGCTGGGGAAACGCGATGGCATTCCAAATGCTGGGCTCTATGTGATGCTGCTGCTGGGAATGGCTGCTGCTGCTGCTGCTGCTGCTGCTGTAGCGTGGACCTGCAGTGGAAACCAGCGCCTACAGCTCGTGCTAGGCCCATGTGTTGATGTGCCCTGTTCATCCTGCCCCCACTGATTGCAGGGACATTTCTCTCAATTCGCTGTCAGGTCGGCAGCCTCACATGCTCGTGGCCAGCCCATGTATGGCTGACAGCAGTGCAGGGCGCTGACAGTGCCTGCTTGCCCACCTTGCGCTGCAGGGACACTGCCGGAATCTTGGGGCCAGCAGGGGTCGTTCCCCCAGCTCTACGAATTGTGAGTTGCGCTTCTGCGAGCGTTCCAATGTTGCCGCCAATATGGATGCATGGATGCTTGCTCCGCCACGTGACCATTTGTGTCGCGACCTGTGGGCCTGGGTGGGTGGCCTTCCAACGCTATCTGCGTTGCTCTGGGCGTCGCTGACTGGATCTGCCTGCCCGCCTGCCTGCCTGCCGCTGCAGAGACCTGCAGGGGGCGTTCGACTCAGGTGGGGCCTGGGATGGGTGCGGGCATCTGCCCATGAGATGGGGCGCGCGCTGCGTGCTGCCGCTGCTGCAGCCCCCAGGGCTCTTCACACACCGCCCTTCGCTGCCGGGCGCCGATGGCTGTTGCAGGGGCGGGCAACCGCACGCTGCCGGCCAGCTGGCAGACGGGCTTCCCCCAGATGTTTACCCTGGTCCTGCGCGGCACCCGGCTCAATGGTGCGCCCAGCCGGCGGCAGCCTGGCAGCTCAGGTTGGCAGCTTCTGCTGCCCTGCGTCAGACGCCCGAAACGGCGCCGGTGCATCTCTTCCACAGCCTGGCAGCCGGCCTCCAACCTTGAACCAGGCTGGTAGAATCGACGGTGTGTAACGTAATTGCTGCAGGCACAATCCCCGTCACCTGGCCCTCGTCCATCGAAAGCCTGTGAGTGCGGCAGCGCTGCAGCTGCTGCCGACTACGCGAGGCACGGGGGCGGGCTGGCTGGCGGCGGCCGGCAGGGGAGCAGCCTGGATGGTTCTGGGCCCGCATGCACGCTCTGCCTGGTGTGCTTCCCGTTGTTTCCAAAGGGCTGGCCTCATCACCGGCTGCATGCCTTGCAGGGACGTGAATTTCAACTTCTTTGAAGGTAAGCCGCCGCTGAATGGGGCATGTTAGATGCATCAGCTGCGGCTGGGGCCTGCACCCGGCCTGGCAGCTGTGCATGCTGGACATCTCACTTGCCCTCACCGCACTGGGATGTGCACTGTGTTTGGGGAACTCATCTGGGCTGCACCCTTGCTCCATCAATCCCTGCAGGCAAGCTGCCTGAGGAATGGGGTTCTGAAGGCTCATCTTTCTTCGCCCTGCAATCGCTGTGAGCACCTCTCCCCGCCCAGTTGTGCCGATGCTGTGCCCAGCACTACCCGTTGGATGCCCTGGCTCAAACTGAAATGCAGAGTTCACAGTGTCGCAGTGGGGCCAAGGGGTGCCGCCGACTTTGCAGTCGAGCAGAGGGTGGCTCACAGCCCCGTTTGCGTCTTCTTTCTGGTGCGCTGTGCAGGGACGTTGGGAGCAACTTCCTGCAGGGTGAGGCAGGCTGCATACGCGAAGGAAGCCGCAGTCCGTGTGGAGAGCACGCAGCCGCCGCAAGCCTGCCTGCCGCTCAGGGTTGGATGTCAGCAGGCCGGGCTAATGCGGCTGGCCTGATGCCTGCCGCCTGCCCACTGCTGCAGGCACGCTGCCGGCGAGCTGGGGCAGCCCCGGAATCTTCCCTGCCCTGCAAATTCTGTACGTGGCAGCCACTGGTGCAGCTGCCAGGCTCGTGCCATGCGGGCTGCCGCCCAAACTGCTGCCACCTCTGCATGCCCCGCTTCTACACTTCCCTAGCCGAGTCAA